CTTTCCATTCTTTTATTCCCCCTTCTTCTTCTTATTTTTTGCTTTTCCTTTTGATCCTTTTTTTTTTCTTTTGGCACATCCCTCCTCACTTGCGTGCAACAATCTTGTTGCACGTTCTTATCCCGTCATTTTCCTACCATTTATCTTATGAAATGATTAGTAGTGCATTTGACAAGCTCTTGCGTGCGTTGAATTTTCATTTTCTAGAGCTGTCAAACTTGGACCTTAAGCAAGCCTTTCTCGAGAAGTAACCCCAGTTTTATTGCTTTCATTTTCCTTTCTTTTTAGAATAGATTTTCTCCCATGGAAATGTTTGCATGCCTTTTGCTAGGTACATGACTTAATATACTTTGGTGCTTCGATTTGGATCAAGAATCAACAAAATTTGACTCCTATTTTTGCTAGCATATGGAAGGCAACATTCAATTCTTGAGGAAATTAGCTTTGTGAAAGGTTTAATTGGGTCATTTGTGGGTACACACCCACCTAATATCCGGTAATATCCTTCCTTTCTCTTTCTCAAGTGGATGATGACTTGTTGGACACATGATGGTTTGTTGGATTGATCTTCTTGTTTTTCCCCTCCCATGGTTTCTATGATTTATGTTTGAGTGTATTATCTCATTCAAGCTTGGGGGAGGGTTTTCTATTATTTTTGATGGGATGTTGAATCATATATGCTTTGCACCTTTGTATATGCATTTCCATGTTCTATATTTTGAAAAACTCCAAAAAGATTTTTGTTTCTGAAGGAAAATTTGCAATGCATCTTTGTTTTGTTCTTGTTTTGGACGTAATACTTTTGGACTTGTATAGTTGAATGCTTTTCTTATTAAATGGTAACGGTGTGCACGGTTTGAGAGTATGTTTGGTTGATTCTAGGATAGAGCATGCTAAGGTAGTCGTTTAGAACTATTAGGACCTTGAAGCCGGATTCTATTTGTTTTTGAAAATTTGCAATTGCTCCCTTTTGGTGAATTTGAAGCTAATAGCGGGTTTTTGCCATAACCTTGTGAGGTTTCATGATTTTCTAGCCTTCTTTATATCTTGCATGAGTGGCATGGATCCTTCACTATTGCGGACCTAATCTTGAATCTTTACTCATAATTCTCAAACACGAGACCAAACCATCTAGGGAGGAAAAAGGCATCTTTTCGGGGTGGTAATTTTTCTTTTCTAGGTTAATATTCTTTCTTTTTGGTTCATTGGGTCTTGTAGACACCTAAAAATGTCTCCCCAAAACCAAACCCGATGATGAACAACCTTTCACCGCCATTATTGGTCGGGTTGAGTATTTAATCTTGAAGTGATTAAATCCATATTTCCATTTTATAAACCAACCCAATTCCTAGCCCATTTCCCCAAACCATAACTTATTGGAAAAAATTACCTGCAATAATCCGACATTTTTCCCGTCCGCTGAAAATAAGCCCACCTTTACCCCCCGATCTTTTTTATTGGTCGCAACCGGTCACTTAACTTGCTTTAGCAAGTTACTTGACACGTGTGGACACCCGATTAAACCAAATAATAAAATTAAAAAAAATAGTAAAAAAAAGTTAAAAAAAATTAATTAATATTAAAACCACCCACCAGGTAAACCACCTTCCCAGCCACCGTTCTCGGCACGGCGACATTCCCAGACACCATTCCCGGCGCGCTGACCTTCCAAGCCACCGTTCCTGACGCGCCGATCTTCCCAGCCACCAATCCAGACTTTTCCGACTTCCCTTGCCCCCTCTATCACCCTAATTCGGCCTCGCAACCACCCCCAATTTCGGATTTTTCGACATTCCCTGCCCCCTCTGGCCGCGTCGACCTTCCCCTTTCCCGAATTCAAGCCGCGTCGAGCGTCCTTGCCCCTACCCCCCTCCCCCATCACGGTGCCTCCCCTACCCTTATCCACGAATTGCCGAACCATTTTCACCTGTCCCCGACCTAATTCCGACCTAGGTTTGTGGGGTTTCAAATGGGCATGGGGTTGGTGGGTTTCGAAGGAGTTTTGGGGTTGGTTATGCTAAGGTTCCGGTCGGCGTCGGTTGGGAGTGTCTTTTCGATTTTGTGGGTTGCGTTCAGGTGCGCTTGGTGGTGGGTTACGGTCAGGTAGGGATGATGGTGGCTTAGGAGTGGCTGGGACGGTTGTGGCTGGGGTGGAGGGGTTTTTTTCATTTTTTTATTAAAATTTTTGGACAAATTATGTAGTGACACGTATATTTAAAAAAAAAATTACCTTTACAATAGGTAACTGGTCACCTGGGACCATTGGAAGCGGATTAGGGGTAAAGGTGGGATTATTAAAAAATAATCCAAAGGTGGGATTATTTTCAGCGGACAGGCAAAAGGTCGGATTATTGTGGGCAATTTTTCCAAACTTATTTTCCTCTTTTCGTGCCTTTAAACCAAAAATAATTCATTTCGTGTCCTTTAAAATCATTCATTTCGTGTCCTTTTTATAAAAACGTTTAATACAGTTCATTTTGGTCCATAATCTGGGTCCAATGGTTGAATAGTTGGATGGGGCTTTAAAAGAGCTTTCCAACGATATATTATAAATCCAAATCCGAGTTATAATGAATAAGTTATGGCCAAAATATTTAACTGAGCCCAAACCGAACCTAAGCCCACCTTACCTACGACCCAATGATCATGTGGAGGATCCAAATGATTTAATCCAATTCCTAAGCCAATTAGGATTAATTAGAAACTTCTATAAGTTTCTAAAAGATCCTAATTATCCTTTTTGAAATGACAAGATTAAATCCGTGTCAACTTGAATAACATAGGATTGTAGATTTTTTTTTTTTATATATACCCATGAGTCATAACTCTTTTAGAATTCTAGTCCTCTTCCTAATTTCTTGTGATCGATTTTTGTGCTAACCTTAACATGTGTTCTTTGTCTTTGACTGTTGTTGATACTATTTATGACTAATGATTGCCAATGGACCGTTTTCACCTAGTAAATAGCATAAACATTAAAATTGAACAAAATTAATCAAGTTAGTTTATCTTTTAGTCTTTAGTGCTATTTGGTCATTGGGTCTTTGTTTTTCACAACGTCCTCATGTCTAGCCATACGATCATAACATGAGTCTTATAACATCACTTAATCACTCACGAGTCAAGTATAGTCCACACACTCACGAGTCAAGTGAGTTAGTGTATATTCTTGTCTCTTCTCTATTCTTTTTGTTTGTTTGAATCAGCTCATCATTTCTCCCTTGGTTTTGTTTTGCTTGAGGACGAGAAAAAGGTAAGCTTGGGGGTATTTGATGGGTGTATGTAGGGAATATTTCAAGCATTACCCCTATCTTGAACCCCACTTTGATCATACACTAAAGTACGGTGGCGTCCAAAGGGAAGGAAGATAGAGCAAAAGAGTCGCCAACAAGTTTTAGGAACTTGTAAACCATTCACGAGGTGAAGGTTACACCCCTTAATGATCCAGGAGATCGTCAACTCCAATAGAACTGGACCATGACTGGTATTTCGGGGATGAAGGTACAAATCCAACCTAAAAGAGATTGAACCTGCCCTAATAATAGGCCTTTACTTTATTCTGATCGTATTCATGTGCGCTTTCTGACTAACATGCAATCAATAGGTTTACCCTAAACCTGTTTATCTATGTTGGTTGAATATAATGCAAAAACAAATCTATTATTGACGATCACTTTAATTATAATCAAATTAACTCTAAACAAAATTATTAATTATCTTATTAAGCGTGATTGCAAGTACCAATTCCCTTTAAACATGCGTAAAAGGCGTGATCAAGCAATAACAATAAATATATATCAAGCAACATAATAATCAGAATTAAAATAATCATAAATCATCATCATAAAAATTATAATCATAATATTGATGTTAAAGCATAATAATAGCAAGATCCTAGGCATGATACTAACAAAATTAATAACAAACCCTAGCATGTCACAAACCAATAAAAATCAAAGCTTTAACCCTAACATGATACTAACATGCTATTAGAAAAGAATATAAGAAGCATCGCAATTATCATATTTGATATTAACGTTACCCTAAACATGATACTAGGAAGATCAAAACACCCTAACATGACCCTAGGAATCATAATAACAACATAGACATGATTTCTATATCATGATATCAATAAAACCTTTAAAGCACTTAGTTGGATGCTTTGTACCTCTTTCTAAGAACAAAATACACACGTTAGTAACTTCAAGGAAAATAATAAAACAAACAAATAAATTAAATAATTGAAATAGAGATTAGGGACCAAACCCTCAGAAATTAAAACCTTTCACGTCTAGGGCAAAGGCAACTTCGAATTTGGCTAGGTGTGTCTAGATCTAATGTGTGAGGAATTGTGTTTGTAAAAGACTAGGCTAGAAAGAGGGAAAAAGAATCAAGAAATTTTTGATGAGAGTTGATGAGAAGAATGAATTAAAAAGAATAAGAATTGATGAGAATTGATTGATATTTGATGATGAAAAACGGAGGTTTTAGGAGGCTATATGTAGAGAAAATCAGTCAGATGGATCAAAAAACGAATCAGAGTTTCAACGAGAATAAAACACGATTAGCGCCAGATGCTGGTCATTAGCGCCAAACGCTGAATGTTAGCGCCAGGCACCAAGCCTTAGCGCCAGGCGCTAATTCTTGTCGTTAGGCGCTACTAATGGAAAAAAGGTCATCCGTAACGGGGTAAAAAGGGCTCATCCATAACGGGCAACTTTCGTTACGTATGCGGCCGTTATGGATGGCCATTGTTACTCGTAACGGACATTTTGAATGTCCGTTACGAATAACCCATTATTCTTAACGAACATTTAAATGTCCGTTACGAATAACCCGTTATTCGTAACGGACATTTCATGTGCCCGTTACAAATAACCCGTTATTCGTAACGGACATTTCAAGTGCCCATTACAAATAACAAGTTATTTGTAACGGGAATTTCAACTACCCGTTACAAATAGTGTGTTACCCAATTTTAAAAAAAATCTAGCACATGTTGTTGTGATGGATTAGCTAGCTTATAGCACAATTATTTTATTAATTAATTGAGATAAAAATAGTACTTCATATTTATACAATGAGCAAAAAAAAAACATTTATTATTGCCTAAATAATTAAAACTAAAAACCTTCTGCTACATTGATTCTTCTTAGTCCAAAGCTATTTAACTTTTCAATGATCTTCTTAGTCCAAACCTTCTGCTTCATTGATTCTTCTTAGGCCAAAGCTATTGCTGCATCAGTTCAATCTCTTGCTGAAGGCCCCGTACTTGATCTGCAACATCGAATAATATATTGGCCTCTTGAATCAATATAGAACCAATCCACTGGACAGCTGATGCAACATTGGATTCTGCCATGGTTGTGAGATTTTGGTGTTTACCTTAGCTTTCCTGTTGATTTCACATAAATGAATCAATATTAAAAGATAGTCAATTCTGACTTACAACAAAAACACACACATTACGGGGAAAAAGAGAATTATGAGGTGCCTGATAGATCTTACTATAGCAATGAACCTTTTATTTGGGTGAAATTCTTAGATCTTTTCACAATTGAGGAAAGCTTATTCTTCAAATAACAAGAAAGACACATCAATGAAAGTAAATAATACTTCTGTAACCAGAAAGATACACAGGCAATATATCTTACACTTTGGTAATTCAGGGGTTGTCCTATTTTATGGGTTTTAGGGTTTATCGTCCATGAATTTATTTCCTTCCGCTAGCACTCATAACTGTTACATACTCAATGTAACAATGACAATAATTTATTCATATATATGATCACAGTTTTTCAATATACTAGCTCATGCAGTAATTCATATGACACAATGCAACAGACAGCAGATAGCACTTTATTCAAAACTTCCAACAGACAACAGACAACAGATAGCACTTTATCTTCCACAGGTTTTTTTTTATCACTAGGCCTAATCCTTGCAGTACTGGCATACATGAACAAATTTTTTCACACTAAAACTAAAACTAAAAAGTAAAAAGTAAAAAAAAAAGTAAAACCTTAAATCATGAAACTCTTAAACCTTAAAGTCAAATTAGTAATCAAGTAATGCATTATAATCAATTAATGAATCAAGATCACAAAATTCGGACTCCAGGAAATTCTTAAACTTTAAATCATGTTCATCAGCTAAACACATCAAATACTTAAAACTCTGTTATAAATCATTAATCATATATCATTTTATCCAATTTTTCAATTCAACAATCCAATAACTTCGATATACAAGGATTCATATAAAAATGAAGCAATCAATCCACAAAACATGAACAAAAAAAAAAGCATAAAAATCGGTAAACAATCTAAAATCCAAATAATCAAACATCAAAACATGAAAAAATTCATCAATTAATCTACTTCATCATATCTGAACCAAAAACCAATCAAATTACAGAACAAAATCAATTGCAAAATACAGTCAAACCAAAATCAATTTGAGGTTATTTTAGTGGCTTCAAATTTATAAAATTAAATTAGCTTTTAGGTTGCACACATGAGGTGTTGAGAGAGAGAGAGAGAGAGAGACCTATGCACATGGAAATGACTCCAAAATGACAATCTCTTCCTCGCCGTTTCATCTCATTAAGTAAAGTAGCTACACACCAGGCACCTAAAAAAAGAGCAAAGTAGGAATTGAGTACAACAATACACTAATCAACAAGGCTTTGTTATTGTCTACCTTATTTTAACAGATTAAAATCAATTTCACACACTGAAATCAGATTTAGATTTCTGCTGATAACCAAGTTTTACAACTAATAACTGATTTTTACTTATATAAATCCCCCCTCCCCAAACAGAGCCTAACTCACTCAATAAGCATTTTCTCTAGTAAATCCAAAATGCATACCTGTAGCTCCCAAGGGATGTCCAAGGGCTATTGCTCCCCCGTTAACATTAACTTTCGCTGGATCGAGGTTCAGCTTTTTACAACTGTAAACATACTGAGATGCAAAGGCCTTCATTGAAAATGGATGTTACAAATTTGAGAAATGGTGTTGAAGTCACCAACTGAAAATATGAGGCAGCTTGTTCAGAGTGCTAACCTCATTTATCTCAAATAGATTGATATCATTAAGCTTTAGCCCGGCAGATTTCACAGCAGCAGGAATGGCAAAAGCTGGGCCAAACCCCATAATAGAAGGATCAACACCAACAGCAGCAAAGCTCCTAAAACACAGGATTAATAACAGCAATTTAACCTTACAAATAAACTACAGTATTTCTCAAACAGCAAACTCACAAAATCAAACAGGAGCGTATTATTTAAGATTATAATACACAATTGAAACCGAAATTCATTTCCTACACTATTACTTCCTCTAAATCAACATGCAAACAAAAAACATCAAACACAGAAAACAAAATTCAATTATGAAATTCATAAAAATGGAAATTCAAACGCAAACAAGATCTAAAATCATAGCAGAAAATGCAGAATTAATAGAAAAGAGAAAATGCATACAAAGATCCACAATTGTAGAGGTCGATAGAAACGGAGATACGTTCGACGCCATTGCTGAGGTTTGTAAGGGTAGTCTTCTTGTGAGCTACAATAAAAGCTGATTCTGAATCCCCCATTGCTGAGATTGAACATGAAACAAGAATCATAGCGAAAATTACAAACCCTAATTGATTGATTGAAGCCGCCATTGTTGAATTCTCTGAAGTTGCAGATTGAGAATTGAAAGGGGTGAATTTTCGAAATGTGAAGAACGAAAGAGAAGCGGAAAAATTCCCAAAACTAAGTCATTTAAATCGATTTTCCAAGAAATAAAAACAAAATTCCCAAAAATAATTTAAAAATCAAGAAAAATCATAGAACTTGAAAAAAAAAGGGTAACAAGTAACAAAAAATTAAAAGAAATAAGATCTAAGAACCTATATATCCTTGTAAGCGGTGGTTTCCAATGATCTAACCTTTGATTTCTCCGTTTCCGTTAGTGACTTCTTCCTCTTTTTCGCCTCTTATTTCACTTTCTCCACTTGGTTTTCAACAATAAACTAGCAAAAATCATTCAAATAAAAATCAGATTAAAATCTAATTATAAAACCAAAAAATTCTACCAATTTGAATCTAATTGCTACAAATCTAGTAGCAAAAACAAAACATAAATTTAAAAAAAAAACGCATAATCAAGAGGAAAGAGAATATGGAGGTAAGGAAAGGTGGTAAAGAGAGTAAAAGAGAATGAATCTTGAGGAAAGAGAAAGACAGTGAGTTCTAAAGAGGAGAGAGAAAGAGAGTGAGTGAGTGAAAGACAAAGTTAGAGAATGATTTCTGAGGAGAGAGAAAGAGAGGGGAGTGACGGCTGAGGAGATGTGTGAAACCCTAAGTAACCAATGGGATCATCTCATCAGCTGGACGCCTGGACCAATCATTCGTAACGGGCACATGATGTCCATTATAAATAGTATATTATTCATAACGTGCGGTATTTTGTCCGTTACAAATATAATAGTATTCGTAACGGACATTATTTTGCCCGTTACGAATTAATAAGTATTCGTAACGGACACTATTTTGCCCGTTAGGAATATCTTAATTGTAACGGGCAAAGCTTTGCCCGTTACAAATAGCCTGTTACGAATGAGATTTTTTCCACTAGTGCGCTAATAATCAGTTTCACGCGTTTTTTTTTGTTTTTATCATATCTTTTGATCCGGCTGTCCAAATAAGGCATATAATATGTCTTTAGAAATATCTTGAAGTCTACTAAACCAATTAGAATCACATTAAAATATTTTGTAGATAAAAAGATATGGACGAAAAAGTGGAACAGTGTCAGTTTTGAATAGAGTTTTGTATCTCATTCATATCTTTTTCGTTATAACTCGGATTTAATATTATAATATATCATTGGAAAGATAATTTCAAGATATATCCAAACATATAAAATTTGGATAAAGATTATGAGGCACGAAAATAAAATCCGAATATATTCCACTTTGTACAAAACAAGGATTCTAAAAATGAGTAGTTTTATTCAATTTCAAACTCTTTGAAACATAATTATCAATCCTAACATAATTATGAGAAAATTCTAGAGTATTCTACAAGACAATAATCATTCCTAATATCTTTAGGAATGATAATTTTTAATAGGCCCTCCTCTAGATCATAGGGTCGCATATTAAAACCAAATCGGAACCAGTTTAATATTTTGGTCATAAATTCCTCATTATTCATCGGAATCTGGCTTATAATACATTTTTGGAAAGGTATTTTCAATCCCCATCCAAATACACCATTATTGGACCCTTATCATGGACCAAACTAAACAGGAATGCACGTTTTCATAAATAAGGTAAGAAAAGAAATATTTTCAAAAACAGAAAGAAGAGATATTTTAATAAAAACATCCTCATCACTAGACTTTCTACACTTTCACTTCATTCAATTATGATTCGACACAAAAGGTACTCATCACTTGGTTTGGTTTTGGGGAGACACAAATGGGTGTCTACAGTGTCATAAACGACACCTATTTGATGAGCATTTAGGTTGTTTTCTTCCTCTTTTCATAGCTTTCAGGCTCAATAAATGCCTATTTTTATGCGTTTGGTCTTTGTTTTACCTTTCCTCTCTTATTTTGTAGCTTTTGTGCATTTTATTGGTTTTTTTACTCTTTTCTCCTTTATTTGCTCTATTTTCGTGGTTTTAGGTATTGTACGAGGTCGGGGTCTTGATATTGGTGATTTACTAAGGTGGAAGATGCTTTTGGAGCAAGCTCATGGCAATAGGAAAGCTCAAGATGCAACAAAGTGGGTTCTCCAATATCTAGCTCTTGCACTTTTAAGTCGTGCTCTCATGAAGATGGGGTGTTGAACCCACTATCAAGTGCTTTTTGGGACTGCCACTCTTAGTGTTCATCATCATCATATTGCGCGTTCACTCAAAGACCTTAGCGAACGCACGAAGCCGCGAGAAGATTGAAAAAACCCATTCAGAGCGGGCGTGCAACCCCTTTTTCGCGGGCGCGGAACCCTGCTGCGCGGGCGCTCCTTCCTGGATATTCGTCTTTCTCGGTTTTTGTTCGTGCCTCCTATATATATCTTTGTAACCCGATTTTTGGGGCAAGTTTTTGAGCAAGTTTCATTTTATATTTTGATAATAATTTTAGCTTAGTTGAGAGCTTCTCTCTCTAGTGTTAGGGTTAGTTTTGGAGTAGATTTTAGTGAGAGAAAGTGAGGAATTTCAATGATGATTGAGAGGTTGAAGATTTAATGGTGACAATTGTAATGGAGATCTTCTCTATTATCAATAAGCCTTTCTAAACTCTATCTCATTTTATTGCTTTGCTTAATATTTGTTGTTTGTTTGGATTGATTTTGATGTTTGATCTTTGATTAGTGTAATTGTTCTTCATATTTTGATGATTCTTGATTTCTTTAGTTGTTTGTGGCTAGATGATGATGTTAAAGTAGTTGTTTGGCTAGGGATAGGGTGAAATTTTTATGATTGATTGATTGTGCTTAATTTTGAGATTGTGTTGATTAATTGTTGAAATTAAATCGAGTAAAGGAAGTTTGGATGTGTGTAATTAGATAGGCCTTGAGACCTATGCTAGATTTCATTGTAGTTTCTAATGATACAGACCATTGATTTAGGAATTGCAATTGTCAATTGATCTAGATTAGTGATAATCCTAGTTAGTGTCTCTCGGAGTTGACGCTAGTTTGACCTCTAGGAGATAGCTTGTTGACTCTTTTGATTGAGCTTGTCATTAGTCTTCACAACCATTGATTTTCATATTGTTCCCGAGTTGCTACAATTGTTATGATTACTTGTTGATCCCCATTCCTAGTGCTTTATTTTTTTGGTTTATTTGTTTGGTAGTTGGTTAGTGTTTACCTTTAATCCTTAGACTTTGACCTAGCTTAAGCGCATAATTGAGAGCGCTTGAACATTACCGTTCCTTTGGGTTCGACCCTTGACTTGCCTCTATACTAGTATTTAGGTTGGTTAAGTATTTATAAATTTTGTTTGAACGAGGGAGGATTAGTTTCAACGACCTAGTTCCACCATTCGTCAGATGATATTAGAGTCAAAGCGTATTTTATGACATAATATTTAAAGTCCAAGACCGAATTAAAGAAATTGATTCAGTGATTAATAACTCGATTAAGTCGACAAGGTTCCAAATTCCAACAATAAATACGGGCCAAAAAGTGAAGGAACTTGGGCCTAGAAACTCTAAAGCCCAACTAGCTGCAGGCGTTTGCTTGCCCGGTCGGTCAGACAACTTCAACATTAGGCTTGCTGATTGCTTTTGGACTTGCAATTTTATTGGGTTTCTTCGCTGACGTTGGTTTAAAGCTTTTAGTGGCCTTAGCTCCAATTTCACGCAGTTATAGGATTGAGTTTTGCTTCAAGCTTAGATGTTTGACTTTCTATAAACTTCTTTTTGTACTCCTATATATAAGGAAGTAGTACGTAGTTTTTTGGGGGGAAGATTCTTAGCTTAGTTCTTTAAGTTTTAATTTTAGTTTTAGGTAGTTTCTAGTTTTCTTTTCTTTTAGTTTAGTTTTATTTTCTTTTCTAATTTTCATTCAAGATTTATTATTTTGTTTTCCTACTACGTTAATACTATTATTCTCTCTCTTAATTCTTGCTATTTATTATGCTTTATTCAATTTCTTTGATTAATTTAGAATTAATTATGTGTGAGTAGTTTTCTTTCTAGGGTTTGTGCGGATCCATAAATATATGACAGGGTAATTTATTATTGTTGAATGTTAATGGTTGATTAATTTCCCATTGATTGATTTAATGTTATGCTATTAGGTTTGACTAGATTTAATTTGTATGCGTTAAGCAATATTGATTCGAGATTCGAGAGATGAGAATTTATATTTAGGCTTAGTTTCACTAGGTAGATTAATTTATACATGGTTAAGTCAGGATTCAAGAGATATGATTTAATACCGGTAGATTAATTCTGTAATTGTAATACGTAGCGAAAGCCCTTTATGATCTAATTAATTTATGCATTGATGATTTTGTTTTACCCTGGAAAATTATTTATTGGTGAACCTATGCCCTAGGCTTTTATTAATTGATTTCTCCCTATTCTTAAATTCCTTAGATTAATTCCTTTCACAACAACAAATTTGGTTACTTGATAATCTAAACTATATTAATTAATTAGGAATCGAAAGACTCGTTTCGCTGTAAATTTGACCCTACTTCGCTATCTATATTTTAGTTAGTGGTTTTAGAAATTACTTTTGATTAGGTGATATGACTTTAGCCTGTCATTGACGAGGGCTGGAACTAGGTCGTTGAAACTAATCCTCCCTCAGTCAAACTAAATTTATAAAAACTTAACCAACCTAAATACTAGTATAGTGGCAAGTCAAGGTTCGAACCCAAAGGAACAGTAATGTTCAAGCGCTCTCAATTATGAGCCTAAGCTAGGTCGAAGTCTAAGGATAAAAGGTAAACATTAACCAACTAAAAATATGAAGAACCAAATAAATAAACATTAGGAACGAGGATTAACAAGTAATCATGACAATTGTAGCAATTCGGGAACAATATGCAAATCAATGGTTGTGAAGACTAATGGCAAGCTCAATTAAAAGAGTCAACAAGCTATCCCCTAGAGGTCAAAATAGCGCCAACTACGAGAGACTCTAACTAGGAGCATCACTAATCAAGCTCAATCGACAATTAAAAATTCCCAAAGAAATGGTGCGTATGATTATAAACTACAATGCAATCTAGCATAATTCTCAAGGCCTAATCGAGTTACACACATGCAAGCTTCCATTAATCACTTTAATCTAAACAAATAATCAACATAACTCCCAAATGAAAGGAGGGAATATGGGCCATGGTTTTGCAAACAAACGCTTTCTCACCACCATACCTCAAATCACCAATAAGAGCATGGAAAACAATCATAGAATCCTGAAAAGAAGAACACTCATGATCACCATCTTCCTCAAACCTCCAACTCCCAAGAGGAACCACATAATCTCTTCAACTACATTCCTGAACAACAACTCCCTCAACTTCCTTAAAGCCCAAAGTCTCAAAACCATGCATGAATGGATTTAAATTCATTCCAAAATCATCTCTCCCCCATGAAGCATTCTCAATGAACTCTTTCAAAAGGCTATGGGTTTTCTTTTGACTCTTAAAGAACTTATTAGACATATCCTCAAACAAGTCCGAATACTTATGGATAGAAGAATCACAATCATGCACAAGAGAATCATCAAGATGGGTTGGAGGGTTAGGGTTTTTAAATTCGACACTCTCTTCATTCTCAACTCCTTCACTATC